GGAGGACCCATGTTATGTGGTGGGGGTGGGAGCTGCAGTTCACCTCTTTGGACCCACTGGTGACACCTGAATCGGCAAATGTACGTGGGGAGGGGAGTGGGGAGAGTGTTTCCACTGGGGATCTCGGCCAGTGGGGTGCTGGTGAGTGGTGCTGGGCTTGGAGGCTGACCCTGGTCATTGGAAGGGGAGAAGGTCTGGGACAGGAAGCTCAGGGGGACACTGAGCCTGCCTGATCCTGCTTTGCTGGCCTGATTCAGCATAAACAATTCATTTGCAATACGTGCACTGTGCCGGTTATTTGTATTTAATCGAGTTTCATCAAGATGAATTAATAAAATTTGCAGTCTTGGTTAAAATGCTGTGACTTGTAAAAACAGAAAAATTTGGATAGTAAAATAATAAAAGGGACTTTTGAGGGATCTTTAAATATTTTATAAATAAATAAACAAATAGAGAAGTAAATAAATAAATAAAGATTTTTTTTGAAGTTTGATTGATTGTTTGTTTATTTATTTATTTATTTATTTCCTCCCCCTGGGACTAGCAGGTCTTGCCAGGTCTTCATTCCCACAGGGAAATTCTTAACTACAAGAGAAACTAAGTCCCACAGTGTTCCTCCTGCTGCCCCAAAGTCGTGACGGGGCTCCGGGACAACCTGCCCTGCCTGTAGCTCATCCCCAGATGGCCCTTTCTGCTGGGGGTGGCCATGGGACATACCCCACGGGCAGTAGCACCAGCACGGGCCCTTGGCTCCCTTGGCTACCTCACCAGCAGCCATCAAGTCCTGACTTCAGAAGTAGGTGAGAGGCTGCTCCTCAGGCTGCATTTGTTAGAGAAGCGCTGCTGCTGTTCAGGCTGGAGCGAGATTCGCAGAGTCCTCTCAGCCCCAGTATAAAATATATCCCCTCACTGGATATGTCCCCATCCCTGGAGGTATTTAAGGGTCACGTAGACATAGTACTTAGGGACATGGTTCAGTCGAGGACTTGTCAGTGTGAGGTTAACGATTGGACTCGATGATCTTGAAGGTCCTTCCCAGCCTAGGCAATTCTGTGATGCTGTGATACAACAGGTGTAGGCTCAGGGTGGTGACCGGCTTACAGGGGAGGCAGAGAGGGGCCACTGGTGACAGGAAACACAGGGGGAAGGGGGTGTGTGAGCCCCAACCTGGCTGCCAGCAGCACAAGACCTGGCATGAAAACCAGAACATGGTGAGAACGGGCTGAAAAGATTCACTGTCGGTGCCGAGAGCCAAGTTAATGCTCAAGCCCTTGGATGGACCTGCCAGCTCACCTGCCGTCAGGAACAAGGTCCCTGTGAGTTCAGGCACAGCTCCCCCACCCACAGCCCCGGTCTTTCTGGGTGAGGATAAGTAAAACCAGCAGCCTCATGCATGCCCACCCAAGGTCATGAGGACAACTGGCCCAAATCAATGCAGACACTTTCAGTGAGCTTTTTTTTTAAATACATTTATTAACCAATGTTAACACATTAAATGACTCTATATATTGCTAGTCAGAGCAGCTTACAAAATGCCAGAATGCATCATAAACTGGACAGCCACAATGAATAATTACAATGTGCATAGTGGCTAAGCTCAACACTTTAATATAGCTTTATGATTTGCAGAAAAATTAATTTTAAATCATGATTCCTAAAACAATCAGTTGTAATTTTACCTAAAACTTATACAAAACCAGGCCACAATCTTTTTTTTTTTTTTTGTTTTGTTTTTTTTTTTCTTTAAAACACACAGTTTTCACACTGTAGTAACTTGGAAATGTGCAACCGTGTCAACAGAGACAAAAAAGCCAAAGTAACACGAATCTTACTTTCATGCAGCTATCAGTTAAATATTACATATTCTGGAATGATTTTACACCAAAAATATTTCCACAATAACTTGCTTTCATAGGGGTGGATCGAAGTTTTGGAACTTGTAAAGTAATCGAACAAGATTGATTTTTAGTTGTGAAGTGTTTTACAGTCACAACACAGGCGACAAAAGTTAATTACACATTTATCAGGCAATAATGTAGCTGTGGTAATAAAAGTTACCGTCTACTTACTATTTTTCCAATCAGCTTACCACTTAATTTCTGCAACATATTGGGCATTATTTGGCAGTATCTAGTCAATTAACTTACATCACCACTGTAAGTAAAAAAGATCAGGATTTCAGTGGTAGTTCACAGAAGTCTTAGTTATATTTTCATCTTTACAATGACCCTGACAAATCCTAGAGAAAACTTTTTTAAAGGCTTTCCTCCTGATTCTTCAGCTTCCATCGTTCCATCATGTAATTGCTTTCAATAAATATCAAAGATCTAAATAAATATTTACAAATTATTCCTCTAACTTCTCGAAAAATAGCTGGATGATTAATGGGCATATGACTCAGTCTAAGACCAATCTTTGAAAGAAACTAAAATGCAGAGACATTTTAAAAGAAAAGCTATTTATGTAAGCTTTACATCTATTTAAAAAAATTGTCTCTGAACATGGATGCAATTCATATATCTATATATAAAACAAACAAAAAGAAAATAATTTTTCAACTATCGATCCATTCCTATTGGTAATGCTTCTTAATCCAGACATTCCGCAAAATACAGACTTTTTACAAATCACGGCATCTTTAATACAAGAAAATTAACATGCATTATTCTTCATTCTGAGTACAGTGATGGAGCTCATTATTAGGCAATGACCCATTACTACAAACATAACGGCTTCTGTGAAACTTAAGTGCTTTTTCTCCTTTCATTATCGAGTTACAATGGACCAGGTGACACCAGATCATAGGCAGCCAAATGACCTTGGATTGGGGAGGCTGAAGGGGGGCGCAATAAAGAAATTCGTATGCCTCATAATTCCATGTATGAATAAAGGTAGTTGTTTCTTTTGTTTTTTGGCTTTTCTTATTCTTGTTACAAGCACTCATGTTAGGACAAAGATGAAATGTGCAAACTTCAAAATTTAAATATTCATTTTTCTCTAAGATCCAGCTCAGTAAAAGATTACCCCAGTTCCCTGTGATTTTAAACTACAAGATCAAAGCTAATATTTTGTTATAAAAGTTATATATTGAAAAGAAATAATGAAAATAAAACACAGTTGGGAAATATTTAAGAAAAAATACGCAGGACTAGCACCTGCTGTGTCAACCCTGTTCCCTAAATTCAATCATGTACCCACTGGTATAACCAATAGATAATGCCTTTAAACAGTAAAATTAAGCTGAACAAAACCAGCTCAACAAGGTTAAGAAATAAATGTTACATCAAGGTAGTATGCTTTGCTTTTCTGAAACAGTTCTATACTTCTTACATTCAGATCTAGTTTTTAAACGTTCCTTTTGTTAAACTTGCATGATTTTTTTTATTTTTAGATCTGCTGTTTTCAAAGATTAAAATCTCTGTAAAACCTAAAAATGTTTTAAAATTTTCTGAAAATGCAACAAATCCTCTAGTTTAAAATTATTTAAAGTAACCTGCTCCAACAGATGTTAAATTCATTCCGCTGACAAAACTTTGGAGGAGCACTAAACAGAAGATTGAAATTACTGTGCAAAATTTCTTTTACGAAAAGTGTTTAAAGGCTGGTGCAAAATGGGAAGCAAATTCTAAACAATTTTGGCTTCTTGGAAACAAAAACCGCTGTGTCTGAGAATAGCAATCATCGGGGTGGTTTTCTAGGGGAAGAATAACTCTTTCATCTTTTTCTGCGGCAGGTACGTTTGTGTTCAGCATGCCAGTGCTCCTGCTGACACTTGATGGAGCAGTAGGAAGTGTTCCAGCAGCAGTGGTACATGGCCTCCTCTTCACAGTTGTAGCACTAGAGAGAACAAAGAGACGGGATTACCACCCTTGCAAGATCCCTCCTTACCAACGCACAAGTGTTCTCACCTGCTCGTGGATGCACCAGCACATGCAGAGGAACCCTTCTCTTTTAGTTATGCTTGGGGCATCCAGAAGCAGGAGAGCATTTTGCACGTGTGCCGAGTAAAGCAGCAATCTTTAGCACATCTGCACAATGCTTTCATATTTTCCAGAGTCTGGATTATTGCTTTTGAAAAAATAACCTCTCATTTAAGAAAACTCATCTCTCAAGAGCAGTGACCTGACTTTATTCAGCCACAGAGAGCAGGAACCAGCTTTACCCTACATTTGTATAATAGCACCCTGATCTATGTCTTAAAAGCTACAATAAATCAACAGGCACTTCTGGCGTGAAGAGGTTCTGTGCAAGCCTGAAAATCGGTGTTTCTGAGGATTTTTTACAAGCCTGACCTGTCCAGAGGTTTCTGGGGAACGTCCTTTTGGGCTAGTAAAATGTCAAAAGTCACAAGAATAGCATCACTGGAGAAAAGAATAGTTTGTCATAGCCCATTTAGGGTAGGTCTGCAAGGAGGATACTGTCATTGGGGTTTGCTGACTGCCAGACAGCGCTGCAGTCTCGTAAAAAGAACACCTTGTGCTACATGAGTGCTACCGAGAAGAGCAAGAGGGTGACTTTTCATTCAAGCCTTTCAGAAACCAGAGAAGGTCTGGCATGCACTGGATGGTTACATGGGCTCTTGCCCCTTGTCATGCCTGCCAGGACGGCACACAACTCCTGAGAGAAAGAGATGCTGAACAGCCTGTGATTTCTGCAGAAGTATTTGGTTCTGGGGAGTGCTGCAGCAAAGAGAACTTCTACTCCAGAACACAAAGAACACCTTCAGTTTCCTGGTAGCTGGAAGAGCTACATGGAAAATAACCCCATGGCCTCTGAGGAACTACAAAAAGGGAATCAACGTGCTGGTCAACACTCTGGGTGGTCAACAAAGAGGTACGGCACCCAGACAGGCAATGTGCCCTGTCTCCAGGTGGTCTGAACCCCTTAAGAGAGTGCTGCCAAAGCATGAGCTATTATTCTGACAAAACCATGTAAAATTGGGTGGTATTGCTGCTAAAGGAACCACTTATACTCAGCACCCTTGAAAGCCAGGTTCTAATGATCTCAGGTTTGTCTTTCTGAATTTGGTCTGCACAAAATCAGCGAGTACCCTTACAAATCCAGTCTGAAATGCTTATTGCACGAGGGGGACAGAGGAAGGGATATCACACAGTCTGCGCAGGCGGCTATCAAACCACAAAATAACACACAATTTACTTTTTATGTCCTGTCTAGCTACAGCACTGTTAATAAAACAGAGAATTACAAAGAAAACAAACCCAACTGCCTTAAAATAAAACAAAAACACAGCAACCCTACACACTACTAAAAGACAGATCCAAGAAAGCCAACATTTAAGTTCGCTAAACTGGTAACTATTTACATGAGCAACAAAGGGACAGCCCTAGCAGCATGAGAAGGGAACCTCTCTATTTTCCTTTTAGAACTTAGCTCCAGGGAAGTTTATTTGTAGAAATGTCTGCAAACAAGTGTCCTCTCGAGAGCTGTTTTCCTGATTTTTCATGTTGCTGGCTGCCCAAAAGCCTGTGGGAACCACTAGGATCATCTGCTGGAAAGGTGCAGGGAACAGCTGTGTCTCTCCATTACATAGAGCATGGGACTCAGCCCAGAGACCAGCTTCACATCTGCTTGCTTGGAGAGATCAAAAAAAGCTAAGACAGGAGGGGACACCCGATTTGTGGGTCCTGCATTTCCCTTTACATATGGTGGCCCTAAGTGTGGGATGTAAATCTCCACTTACAAAAGGAAAATAGTGTCATCTAAGTTGGCCAGCACATGTGGCAGAGAAGGCAAAATGCCAGCTGGCCTCAGGCGTCCTCTTTTCTTTGTGTTTCCTCTTTCTAAATGTTACCAATCACTTGGGTTTTTGTTTCAGACAGTACAGATCATGAGCAATGCTCATTCACTTAAAAACAACCTGTTGCAAGTTAGAGTAAATATACATGTAAATATAATGGAAGGAGAAAGAAGTTAAAAATTATTGATAAAAATGAACTATGCACTAATTTAAATGAGGGTTATATGCAAATAAAAGAACTGGGAAAAAATTAAAAAGAAACATTGTCAAGGCCAGCACTCTAGTCTGTATTCCAGAGGCCATCAAACGGCGTAATCTCATGATTGTTATCCCTGCCTTTATGTTTTTTCCTTTCATTTGCTATTTACTTGAGGTATCTGTATTAAATCCAGATTTTCTTGAGGTATAAAAATGAAACTGGGTTAATCCAAGGGGACTGTGAACAGTTAAAACAACAGAAAATGTTCTTTAACTATGTGTTAGGCTCCTGAGGGCTGGGAGCGCATCTTCTCGTGTGCTTATACACCACCAGCAAAACGATCCCTTCATCCTGACTGGATATTTTTTTTTAGGTATGATAAAAAGATAAATATAGCGTGAATAATAGCAGCTGTATTCCTAAGCCTAGACATCTGCATTACGCAAAACCAGAGGTCTCTGCTTCTAATTAAAAAGCAAAGCCACCAGAACTCATTTAGTATGTGTGTTAATTATATGAGATTTTGGTAAGGAGGTATCATTATTATAATAGCAGCATACAAGAGTGGTACTACACCCTGGGGACTGTCATTAGTACCACTGAAGGAAAAATCACCGGGGAGTTGTGTAATTGGACCAACTCCAGCAGCCTGAGGCTATGTGTTGGCAGGCAGATCCATCAGCTTGAATGCAAAGGTGTTTATCCCTACCCTCCCTCTCCTACCACATGCAAACCAGCTGCCAGTATGATGCCTTCATTTAAGGTGGTGATTGACAGATAGTTCTGGGGTCACAGAAATAGTCAAGACTGTCAAATGTTCTTTATATCTTTAGTTGTCTTACTGGGAAAGATGCTTTACACACATAATCATAAGATGCAGTGATGTGGTACCAGGGCATTCTCCGATTAGGCCAAATGATATGGTGATGGCACATTGGAGCAGATGAAAGTAAGTCTTGGGAGTCTCTTTCATAAATTCTGCCTTCAAAAAAACCAAAAAGCAGCTATATCCAAGAATCCAGACTCAATCAAGTTCCTGCGATTGAGTTACTGCGTATCAGCTGAATGGTGGCAACAGTTCACATGCACTCTTAACTTTTAACAGAAGAGAGCTAATTTGATGTAGCTCTATACTGGGCAAAGGCAATTCCATTTCCCTCTCAAGTGCTGCAGGCAAAAGCGTGCAGGCAGACACCAGCAGCTGGTGACTCGTTAAATACAGTAACTTGATCAAGGCGGAGAGACCTAAATAATTTCTCTGGTCTGCAGAGACAGGTAGACATGCAGGGATTTTCTGAGACCCAAGCACTGCAGTATGGTAACACCCACAGTAAAATCTCTACTAGGAACCGAAATGAAGACTCTACAGGAGCTCTGGCATTTGAAGAAATTCTTCTCTTTACAAAAAGCAAACTCGTAACTGTGATAGTCAGCAACTGATTGTCTTGCTTTAGTATTTATTTCACTCTTTTACAGAGCAGAGTTTTCTCTGCAGGGACCATCGTTTCATCTGTAAGAACAAGGACTAATGAGGCTGAACATAAATAAACAGCCCTTTACAGCAGCAGCCAGACGGGAGCTGTGGGAGAGAGCCAGGGCTGGCTGTCCCTGGGTGGCAGTGGCAGTGGGACAGCAGCTGTCCATCGCTGCTCAGATCAGCGTGCCATCTTGTGGCACCCACACGCCTCTCAGACAGATGGAGGCAAGTAGAAAATCTTGTACCCTCCTATATGTTACAGATAGCTGTTACAGTGCAGTGTCATTGCCTGAACCGTGGCTTTCATTTCCTTGTTCTAAGAAAATTAGCAAAGAAATAGCAAAGTGTGTATGTGTGCCAGGCTCACTGCTCCTCAGCCTAACAGCTTCCACCCGCACCCTGTTACAGGCTAGCAGCGCAGTATTACAGCACTTGCAATGCCTGAGTAGATGCTGTACAGCCAAGTGGGAGAACACACTTCTGGCTTGAAAAGAAAACACGAGGCACAAACCAAACAAAACCAGGGAAAAGTTTGCAGCGTGTAACAGAATGGTAAGTTAGATGTCCGTTTCCACTTTTCTAAAAGGCATATAAACATGGTTCTGTAGGCAATGCTGTGGATTTAGGCTTATGGACTGAACAAGGGAGAGAAATATATTTCAGAAAGTCATGTCTGAAATACAAAAGAACATAAAAGAGCTGCAGAAAAAGCTAGTAGAGGAAGAGGCCAAAAGGATATCACTATCAGCAGTATTAGCAGGGGAATCCAAATTGATGCAGCCAGATACTGTACCCTCTGGGGTCTCAAGATCAAAGGAGTGTGAACGTAATGCAAAACATGCCTTATACGCAGTAAAACTGCATTTAGAAAAAAATATTTTGATACTAACAAATGACTGGACTCAAGAAGATGGTGCTGTTATCACTACATAATGAATATGGAAAGGAATCAGAACTTCGAGTTCAAATTTGGAGGTTAAGAGAATTTGAAAGCAGTAATATGACGGAGAAAACCTTAAAGCTGAAAGAGCAGTGAAAAAGCAGTGCAGTTAAAAGCAAGGAAGAAATCGACTGCAGTTTGCAGCATTTCCATTTATTCTTTTATAATAAATTTTTTACACTTACCCACTGCTTCTTCTTGGTCTGGGAAATCAGTTGCTTGTGCTGGCCTGCTAGTTTCTTAATTTCTTCTAAAAATTCTTCTTTGCATTTCTCCTTTACCTGCTTACATTTTCTGTCCATCTCTCCTTGTGCGTTGGCCACAGCTTTATTTACAGCCTGCCTTTTCTCTTCTTCCATCTCTGTACGCAGCTGCCATAAGAAAGTCAGCAAAACAAGTCAATGCACAGTTACTGGAATAAAAGTATATTCTTTAAACCTCTACTCTTTAAATCTCTACTACTGATGTGGTTCAAGGTCATGTAATTAGAGATTTCTCCTATTTAGAAATCAAAAATTTATCTTAAAATAAACATGTCATCATATTTCTATTCTGCTGGGCATCTACAAAAACAGCTAAATAGGTTCCATGTATATTTTGTCAATGATCAATTTACAAATTTATGAATTTACCTTAGAAAAAGATTTTGTCTTTTCCAAATCTGCAACTGCAGATAAATCTACAGCAAGGGCACAATGGAAAATACAAAATAGAACATCCCTGAGTTCAGTAAGAGGTACCTTTTAGTATTCATTGTTGGTGTGATTCCTTTGCTCTTGCTCAGTTATCCAAAAGTTTAGTGTCTTAATCCTACAGGATTAGCACTTAACACTCCCTAGGTTCATTCCATAGTCCTTAATCCAGAAGGAAATTCACCTTAAAACAGGTACTTAAGAGAGGTCAGACAAATCATCCTCTAAATCGTCCTGCTCTCTCCAGCCAAAGGTGACCAGGTCAGGTTTAGATATTGAATTTTAAACAGGTTATCATTAGATAAGAAAATTCAAACAAATTTCAGCAAATCTGTTTAATGTTTGGGTCAGAAGATTGACAAAAGAATTACTTATGAATAGCATTTAAACAATGCCATTGTTTACAACCACACTTGACAATGGAGACAAAGGCTTTGGAAATGGATACTCATGAATGAACAATTAGTTTCATTTTTGGATCACAAACTGATTTCACTGGACAAGAATAAAAAAAAGCAAGAGTTTTCTGTTTAAACTAAGGTCTGTTGGTATAGAAATGGTTTAAAAAGCAATAGTGAAGCCTATTTTTATGTGGTCTTTCTGGAAAAGGTCTTTCATTCATTTTCTTATGGGTGGATATTATAAAAATAGAAAAGAATGTGAAAAAAATCCACACTCCTCTCCTCAAACCGGAGCGTAGGTGGTGTTCGACAAGCGGTTACCTTTTCCACTGCCTCTCGCACAACTCTCTCAGTTTCTCTTTTGTGATCAGCTTTCATCCTGTCCTTGAAATCGTTAAAGATTTTGGTGTATTTGTCATGGCACATGTTCTGACACACTCCATCAGTACTGGTCTGGGTGCTCCGATGCAGCATTTTTGGAGAAGAGGCACTTAACTTCTTGGTCTGAGTTGAGACTGAAACTTTTTCAATGGGCTGAGGCATTGTGGGAATTTCCTGGCTTGAACTTACTGCTTCAGTTTCAGGTTCTGGCTCCTACACAGAAAGAATAAACTTGTAAATCCAGATATCAAAATAGAACAAGTTAACTTTCAGTTCCCTCTGGAGAAAGAATGTTACATGACTAATGCCAGCACAATTTAATGTGAAAGGTGTCTGCTGAAGACCTCTAGTGCTAATAGGACATGGGATCTCTGAGGAAAAACAGCACACTGGGTAGGCTCTTCGGTCAGTCTTCTCTGACGTCAGCTAGGAGCTCTCCAGAAGGAAGCACACGTACAGCATCAGTGTGCAACACCCTCCAGCCTCGCCTCCCAGAAAGTACGACCAACATCAGAGGCAATGCTGAATCACAGCAGATCCCTTGGGATTACTAAAGGGTTGCTACAGATTTTTTCCCCTACCATTCTCCCTGAAAAGACTGCAGCTGCATGGCCAAGGTGCCTGAATTGTTTTTTCACCTCTGGACTTACCGTGGCCCAACAGGCTCTACTGGAGTCTGTAATATTCCACTGATTTCATAGAACTGCTACCAAGATTGATTAGTACTTCAAAGATGCTTTGAAGATGAAAGGCTAATGAGCATCTAAGTCTTGCTTCCAGTAATATAGAACTAGACTTGGATGACCACAGAAGCTTTCTGTAATTACACAACTATCAAGAAAGAAATCATATTTACTGTAGTGTACTGTACTGAATTTAGCTGCCTATGTTATTACACTGTAACTCCAAATGCTCCTGCTCCTTAGAACAGATAGAAGTAATGTCCCTGCAAGCTCTTACCGATATTTAAAGTGTCTGAAGACACAGATGAACATTTTTTTTTTTAACTTAGATTTTTTTAAAGCTCATTTAACAGTGTGCAGACAAAGCACACAGTCTTTGTAACACCAGACTTGCTCAGGACTGGACTTCATGCCTGTGTGTGTGGTGGGGCAGTGCTCACACCAATCAAAGGCTGACTGTGTATTCCCTTTTGCAACCAATTACTCTCTAATAGGTCACCGTGATTGACTTCTGGATCACTGATCAAATATGAGCAGAGCTAGGAAGGCAAATATTAAGACATAAATATATGAGGCAAATTACAGCAACTGCTTGACAGAAAACACAGTAAAAATGATGAGACATTCTAAACTCCCTGTCTTGCACTCAAATATAGTTTGTGTTCCAGGGAGCACAAACTGTGTGTCAGTGATGAAAGTGCCTCCTGCGGTATCAGATACAATGGGGAGGCAGGTGCCCAGCTGTTAAGAGTGGCAATGTCTGTATTTCAGGCACCAGGGCCATCCCACATAACTCTGGTGCTAAAATACCTGAACCCTCCTCTGTAATGGAGTCCCAAGTTCTCTTCAGAGGACTGTGCATATGTGCAACTTTTTTTTAGTGTTCAACATGCAGCTGAACAAGGCCAGGAAAAAGTACTCAGAAGTTAGGAAATAGGAGATTTATGGCTGTCTCAGTAACTGCCCCCTTGTGTACAAGCATAATAATACAGTCCCTTGGTTACATGACCATTCAGTGTGCAAGCTGGATAAACAAGGAAGGAAGTGCACGGACAAAGGTGGATATGACATTTTACAAACTTAATATTCTTGATCATGCAAAATACTTTCTAATTTCTGCTGTTTATAAGTAGTCTGAATATGTAATTTAAAAAAAAAAAAAATCTTGTAAACTGACTGCTGATTTATTCCTGATACAGAATATTACCATGATGACATCAGTGGCTTGCATGTGGGAGGTAAAATTATGTTTGTTAGCGAGGAGAACCAAGCTATGGGGCTGGAACTTCCAAGATTCACACTGTAAAATCAGTAACAGAAATTGAAGGAGTGTCTATTAAAATTTCAGACTTTTTGAACTTTGTTATCTCTACAAATATGGTAATTGAGGTTACTTACTTCTTTCTTGAGTTCCATACTCTGGTTACGTCGTCCTTTCTTTGCTCTTGGTTCCTGAGTAACCTTCAGCTGTGAACATTAAGAAAAGCACATTGAATCATTCCAAAACCCAATTAACATAAGTAGCATTCATTGTAATATTTGTAAAAAAATTATATATTATAAAATATATAATTTGCAATTATATAATTTAGCAAATAGAAAGTTGAATACTGTTCTTAAATGAGAAGTGCATACAATAAACCTTCCACATTATCACTGATAAATATGTTGCATGAAGCAACAAAATTCATGAACAAGTTCTAACATTCAAAATGTATTTACTAAAATACTCTTAATCATTCTTTTCTTCATTTCACACACAAGTTCAAACAAACACTTGTTTTCTGAAATATTCTGGTAGCAGTGACCCGTAATTGGCAGCAGATATTGTTGGAAGCCAGAAAACAGTAATAATTATAAAGAGAATGTATATATGTAAAGACAGTAAGATTATCCAGACTTGCTATAATTGACTATAACTGTATGCTTGGAGGGGTACAAAACTTCATGCTTTAGAATAAAAACCAATCTCCAGTGACAGAAACAAAGGTGAGATCTAAGTGGATGGTATATTAACTTATAATGGCTTATAGGAAGTTCTTACTCCTGTCTTTGAAGCATCCAGCACTAGCTAGTGTTAGCGATGGGATACTGCAGATTACTGCAGAGCACTGAGTTTGACAGCTACTCATGTTGCTGTATCTGGGAAATCAGTGAAACAGGTGTAAGCATTAACCAAGTAAAGGATGAGCAGCTGGGGTGGAACAGAAAATATGCAAATGTAAACTTCAAACCTTATGACTGACACTTCCAAAAAGCTGGGAAAATGTCACTGTTATCTTTCCTAAGTATTATTTGTGATGGTTTTCCTGTTTCATCACCCACTGTTGCATGAATGCATACATGACATTAAATAAAGGGGTTACGAAGGGTTAGCTACGCAAACCAAGCTAAAACACCCCAAAAAACCACTCTGATAAGGAGCATCCCCTTAAAGCAACATCCAATTTTATAAGCTTTAAGTTTTTAGCTACAAATTGGATGGTAGACCTGTTTGACAAAAGGGCAAAGGAAGAGGGTCAAAACACTCTGATTTTTTAAAATACAGACTTAAGAGTAACAATACTGGTTTTAAATGAGGAAATTAGATGTTGCCAGGGAAAAGGCTGCCAAAAATACAGAGAAGCATCCTGCAAGCTATGAAAATCTTACTGCCAAGTCAGTAATAGCGAATATATAACACCCTCTTGGACAATGAATGGCTAGCAAGGTTGAGCTGTGATAAGGGAATTTCCATATGGCAATCCAAAGTTTAGTATCTTGGCCCTTTGTGCTTTTCACCTTTGTTAAGGCAATATCATTTTTATTGTTTTTCAGAATTATTTTTAATGACTTTAACCAGTTGCTGGTCACATGTTCCTCAAGTGCAACATTTGCATGTAACTTTAGTCAGACGTGCTGAAAATGTCACGGTTGGTGTTACTCAGGGATCTGTAACACAGAATACAGTCCAACGTGAACATACTCCAGCTGTGAAAAGGCTGAACAGCTACAGGGCTCTCCCCCGATGGGAGTCCAAGAAGGCAGTGTTGCAGTCTATCTGATATCCATGACATTTAACTTGAACATTCCTATTTAACTTTAGAAATCTTCGTCTGTCTCATCAAGGTGCAGTAGGTGACAAACATTTTGAAACTTCCCAGAGGTCATCCAAGAAACTGAGGAAAAAGAGGAAAACTCTATATTCTTGCTATTACTGTGCTACAAAACATAGGGAAAATAAGCCTTTGAACCCTTGTCTTGTCACCACAAAACTACAGAAAGAGCATAAGGCTAATTTAATAGTAGATTAATAAAAAATATGTCATTTTTGTACCCCTTATTAATTACCCTGATTGATAACATTGTGCCAGCACTCACCTGCTCGTTGCTTGTGGAAGAGATACTTGACTCTGCCTCCTCTTCCCCTTTATCCTCATTCTTTGATTTCCAGAATCTCCCCTCACGAAGAAAACGCTGGTGCAGTTCCAGCTCATCACAGGCCTTCTTCCACCCCATACTGCGCTTCACGTGCAACCGATGGATGTTAACTGTGATATCTTGGATGTTTTCAGAAGGGATCCAGGCCCTTTTGAATACACAGTACAGACAGGTTCAGAAACATTAAATACAGATAAAGGATCTTGATCGAAGAAACTGACTTCAAAAGCAGTTTTTTACAGTAACCAATCACTGACAATTCCTTTTTACTCAGAATTTTTGTATATTCAACATATTTGGAAAAAAAAAAGAAAAAAGGACTGCATACCATTAGACATTTGTGTTATTATGAGCACTCGCTAGCTGTGGGTGCTATGGCTGAAAGTGACTTTCATTTTTGGTGAGCCACAAACCTCCCCCAGCACCAAAAGTGTCACATCTCCTACCTGCTCTCTTGCTAAATGTCCTGAGTCAGACACAGAAACATCTTTACTGAAGGTTTATAAACTAATCCAATTTAGCCCTTGACCTCTTTGCTAAAACTGTCAAGGAATGTACCAAATTATCACCTCAAATAGAGACGTTTTGTAGTCTGGGCCCCTGTCTATCAGGCCAGAACTCATGAGGGGACCGTTACACTCTTCTGAACTGAACTGATGCCAGTGACTTGGTTCCAAAGGTGCTTTGTCCTCTTAAATATTTTCAGAGAGTTCTCATAGAGTTAGATGGGCAGCTCTTGACATTTTGAAAGGTTATACCAAGCAACACTGGACATTAAAGAAAAAGAGTCATTGCCATGCACATCTACATAACACAGTAAATACTGTAACAAATTAAATGTCTGCAGACAGATTCTCAATTCTTGCAATATAAATTTCTCTTCAGTGAAGTAAAAGAAACAATGCTAATTTACACCAACCCAGAATTTGGCCTTTCATCCAAGTCCAGCACAGTAGCTAAGCAATGGCACTCTAGTAAAACTTATTTTGCCTTTTCTATCACCACCTTTAAGAAGGTGCAAGCACCTCATCCCACAAGTGTCATGTTACTTTATTAAATAGTTTGAAGATGTGTGAACTTAATGCCAAAACTACTAACAAGATAAGCGCTATCTGCAAACAGATCCAAGGTAAATAATTCTGTGATTGAGACATAAATGAAGATCCTTTACCCACTTTATGCCTACTAGAAAATCTTGGTGGTTCATATAACAAATTAAAACATGCTATATACTGTACAAGTTACACTAAAAGCAATTTAAATAAACAGCCTCATAAAACACTGCTACTGAATTGTCTAGGCCATTTTGGGCTGCACCAAAATATACCACCTTCCCAACAACCATGAATTATTTTGCATTGTCTCCTCTCCTCACATTATAGGCATGTAAATCAAATAGCAAAAAAATTCCGTATATCCACTGTAATAACACTACTATAACCCTCCCCAAATGCTGAACAAACAACTGGAGATGGAAATAAAAGCTGATCTCTAAGAATGATGTTTCCAATGGAAAGGGTTACTCTCTGAAATTGCACACTGGTTCACAGCAGGAGCTCTGACAATGTGAGACAGAAACATTTGTGATGTATATTATGTTACTAAAACACAAAATTAGAATGTGCCTGCTCAGAAGAGAAAATTGAGCAAAGTCAATAGTGCTAGTAGTAAGAGAACATTTCTGTCCCATTTTCACCTTGGCCTGGATTAGCAGGCTGCTACTGATTTGAAGAAACAGTTGAAGTTCACTTGCTTCCTTTAATTAAAATGGCATTAAGTAACATCCCTATGACAACTGGGGAAATAGAATCTTTGAGCCATTTGGCAACTTTGGGTGTGTTAGACTGAGCTTTAAATTTTCTGAAACAATTATGGCAAAGTCCTCAGTCTTTCTAATGTTGGCAGCTAGCTGAGCCAGGATTTACAACATGATAGACGAGATAAATTCTTTTAAGTATTGTTTGTAAAAAGCAGCACATGGAATTAATAAATTACCTTTGGTGGTGATGGCCAAAAAAGCGAACATCAACTTGATTGTCCTCTTTCTGCATGACTTTGGCTGGCCAAAACCCAAAGCCTTTCATTTTGGCCCAAACCAACTCATGATTAGGTATCTGGAAAAAACATTGCATTCATTATTTGATATGAAGTATTATATTGGTATCTCCCCCAAATATTTTGCTGTAATACTATGCTAGTCCCTTAAGAATACAGTTGCTCTTTATGTCTAGTGTTTTTTTCAATTTTATCTTTTTAAAATACACATTCACCTGTTAGATGTATTGCTTGGATCAAAGTAAAAAAACCAGAAAGTCTGAAAAGGGTGTAACTGTCCATTGAAAACAGATATTAAGCAGCCTAAAAATTAAACTTGTCTTTCTAGCTTCATCCCAGAGCAAAGTTTTATTTCTGTAAGCTTTTTATTATCTTGTGAGACTGTTGTAAGTGGCTGATAACCAAGTTTCATAACCGATATTGTTACAGCTTTGAAATTCTATCAACATTTCACTTGTGTAAAATATCTAGGCTTACAGAGTCTTAACCATGCTTTTGAAACAAGCCTACCGAAACGGAATATTCAATGCATTAATGACACCAAAACTGGAGGCTTTTATACAGAAAAGCAAACAAATAAAAATCTGTGTCAGCAACATACACAAGGATAGCAGAACCAATTGTCAGGTCGCGCGTTTGACAAATAGAAACAGTTCTTGCAAAGCTGCAGTTCATCCAGCTGAAAAACAAAAAAAGGTAAATAAGCCCAAAAAATCCTACTTATGCGACTTCAGTAGTATCCCTCTCTCCTAAGTAGTAAAATTTTTCAGCCCTGCTTGCTAATTTGGTGGAGTTACTTCTATCTGTGCAAACTGGGGGTGTGAAACTGAGGTGAGCTGAGAGTGGATGAAAGACAAGCTGCAGAAATGTTATTCATGTTTCAGAAAAACAAGGCAGAGGGAGGAGATTAATTCAACTCTTAATGACTTCTTATAGCTAAAATGCAAAGAATAGTTCTTTAAATTCATTAAATATTTAAAGTACATATCAAAAGAAGTAATTCAATTGTACAAATGGAGAAAGTGTGAGAGCTCCCCTAGCCTTATTTTTTGGTCTCCTCTGAATATCGAGAAATGTTTCAATAGCAATTACTGAATTAGGTAGGAATCTCACCTGAGGTTCAATTTATATTAGGAAGTGAAATTATTTCTAGTCCAACTATGTACTACTAGATTATTTTCAAAATTAAAATTTGAATATCAGTATTTTCCAAATGTTAGCCTAGTAGCAAAAAAAAAAAAAAAAAAAGGAATTACAAAATTACAAATCAGCTCTTATATAGCTAGGGGAAGATTTACAACAAACTTCACACCCTTTTTATTTTTGTAATCTGAAGAATAATTTTCTTAGATTCTGAAATGAAAATCAAGTGTCTTGTCTACATCTTGGTTACTTGATACTACTTACTTCATGACATGTGTCTTTGTAAAGCATCCTTGCTATATCAGCTTGTTCACTGTCCGCTATAAATTAAAAATAAATAGTATGAACAATCACAGTATGATCACAGTGCTCACAAAGATTTGCAGCTGTCATTGGTATGACTTTCATGCTATAATTGTCTTGCCTGAGAATACAAACCATAATTTAGTCACTTGGATAACCTTCCATTTAAAATTTCCTAACGATCAGCTCTATATTCGTTTCCTCTCTCATATTAATATGCAAAAATACGGTTGGGAGCTTTTAAACTGAACATTACAACTACATCCAGTTTCTTTCTCTGCTAGTGTCTTAATGACACACTGCAATTGTCCTAAATCATGGCTGTCTGCTATCACCACCTGACAGGAACACAGGTTCAATCATAGGAAGTATTTCTGCTCGGAGTAATGCTTCACAGGCTGTTTATCACTATGTGTTTCCCTTTATACCTGTGTATTTCTCTAATAGCACATTCACATCTCTCTCTACCAACAACAGTGTGGATCTTCTGATGCTGGAAACAGACTGGTCCCACCCTCCTCCCAGTTTCCCTGATGTGGGCCATGTCTGCAGCGGAGAATCATGTCTTTCCTGAAATAATGGCTTTGGAGAACCTTGTTATAGGACCTGGCTATAGCTTCTGGATGTGGTGGTGGTGGTTTCCCACTTCCAATCAGACTGTCCCACCGTATCATACAGTCTCAATTATTATCTTCCTGGGGGATGGAAGTCAGAGGACTGCTATACCTCCACACAATGCACTAGCAGGACTTCTAGTGTGGATGTAGCTATATTTGTTGTTGCAATATGGCAGATATTGCACATGAGTGAAAAATCATAGAATCATAGAATGGTTTGGGTTGGAAGGGACCTTAAAGATCATCTAGTTCCAACCCCCCTGCCATCAGCAGGGACACCTTCCACTAGACCAGGTTGCTCAAAGCCTCATCCAACCTGGCCTTGAACACTTCCAGGGAGGAGCAGCCACAGCTTCCTTGGGCAACCTGTTCCAGTGTCTCACCACCCTCACAGGAAAGAATTTCTTCCTAATATCTAATCTAAACCTACCCTCTTCCAGTCTAAAGCTATTACCCCTTGTTCTATCACTACCTGCCCTTGTCAAAAGTCCCTCCCCAGCCTTCTTGTAGGCCCAAATGCATATTTGTAATACACATTTCTGCTGATGCAGCACATCAGAGATCAGACCTCTTTCCACTCTAGAACAACATACATATACTGGCAGAAATCTGCAGTATAGACTGACTTACGACTTGGGCTGCAGAAGACACAGGATGGCAAAGGTGCAAATTCTCACTAACAGGTTTAGTCAGAGAGGATGAAAACAGCTGTATAGTAGGTGGGCCAGAAAAGACCCTGCAAAGTCTTCTTGCAGCTTACTTTGATTTTTAAGGGCTCTCAAATGACATCAACCACACTTAAGGTTCTCTAATACCAAATTAGATCCTGAACTTGTGAATTTCCTGCAGATAAAGATAAATCAACTAAAGCAAGTAGTAAGTGTAGTACTTTACCTCCATAGAAAATCACTGTGTTGTGTAGAAGCAGCTGAGCATCTGCTTTGAACTCCTCATAACTCCTATACTTTCCTTCATTTACTTTCTACACAAAAGAAAACAAGACTGTGAAAAAAATGTGAAAGTGCTGTACCTGTTTTATGCAGAGAAGCTTTCACAGAAAGCTGCATTATGCAACACAGATCAGCCACTGCCATCCCTGCACACAGAAGGAATACTTACAACTCTGACATGGTTGGTTTAGTACCTGAACACTGGCTGCATTGGTCCCTTTATACAATGCCCAGAAGTAAAACAGGTGCTTTAATACTTGACTAAGTTAAAAGAAAATTCTCTTGGTTATAACAAGGTAAATCTGGAGTAGCTTCATCGTAAGGCATGGCTGAGAACACTTGTTCAAATTAAAATATATTCCCTGAGGTGAAAATCTTGTACCTTAAAATACCACCTAGTTTCCAGAGCAATGTTGACTGCCTTTGTAAATCCAGGATCTTCACTTGACAACCAAGTGTTTTCTGATGAAGGCTGATTATCTCAGTCTTCCAAACTCATAAAAAATGCCTACATGGAGCCACGCAGTTCACTTTCCTAGTATGATCTTTTGTCTGATAAGGAATGCAGCGTTTTCAGTTGTGCTCTGTCAAGAACACCTATGAGAATTCCAATCATCAAGCAAAACATTATCAGTTTCTAGGATGTTATCAAGTCCAAAAGACCTTCTCTGGAAGCAGGTGAAGGTGACACAGTGAAAGGAATGCCTGACTTATTTTCAGGCTCAGCCAGTGTTGCCAGCACTTCAAGTAAGCCAGTAGTGATGGTCTCCAAAACTGTCAGTGAAACTATTCTTTAACCATGTGTTTCGATAACAGTAATAAAACAAAGGCTTTTCACATCTGTGGCTGTAAAGGGCAATAGATACTACAGCATTGCATAGTAATCCAGTTGCAGCAATGAATAAAGATGAATATACTGTTCATTTTGATCATATGCAGTTAGTTTATATGAGTCATGATCAGATCTTTGGTTCAGAAAAAAAGGCCAACGTATTTATTAGTACTTTGTTTTTGGAACAATTAATGCAAAACAGATGTTTTAAGTGAGTCTTGTTTTTCATGATCAACAAAACAATCGGCTCTTTATGAATCATTTAGATGTTCATAAAGTTGTCACCTACACAAGGCCTTAATGACTAAAACTGGAATATGGTCAAAAACATTGGGCCAGATAGGCAAACATGGGTGCTCAAGTCCATATGCAGTGACTTGAATAAAGGGTACTTTAAAGATTTCAGCTACCTACAGTTCCTAGTAAAACCTCAGTACAAATGAAATTGAGGATACCCTATGTCTGAAAACCAGGCACCACTCAAAATGGTTTTACTTGGTTACCTATTTATGAGGAAAAGTTTGAAATCTTAAGCTCCCATATCCAATGCTGGATACAATACTGGAATACTGATCATAAGGAGAATGAAACAGGCTTAGTGCTTTAGTCCTTAAGGTTTATCTTCACTGTTAAAAGATACCATAAACAGTGTGTAAGTTAGAAAGCAAGTCACTCTACCTCCTGTATAGTAGGAACATCAACAGCTGAGTGCACCAGCCTTCTATACATTGGGTGTTTGTTGTCCTTCCCTTTCTTGTTTAGATCTATAGCCTGAAAGGACCACGAGACAGTGTAAGTTATTGCATTTATAATCTGCTTAAAACACACACACACAAAAAGATTAAAAAATTGCAATAGTTTGGAATTTTTCAGTTGGGGAATACACAAGACCAAACTGTAGATCCAGACAGATTGCATGTGTCTCAAACCTGAAAAATGTCAATTTCAGAGGAGCCACAGGCCCATGGCATAAACTACTCCTGCTGGAATGATACTAATCCCAGCAATAAGACATGGTAAGTGTATCTTGAAATACACATGCTGCTTATCACAGGGGAAATAAAATGACACCTTCTTGTAGCCCTCCTCCCTGCACAGTCACACATGGCCAACTGCAATGCATCTTCTACAGCACAGCCCAACACTTCGATAAACTTCCCTGTTTCAAACTCACCCGCTCCTTCATACGAGAGACTATGAATCGCAGGTATGTGCTCATCTCTTGTTTACTTGTGTTTTTCTTCTTGATACTCTGTCAAAGAAAAACAGGGTCATATTATTATTTTAAACTTGACTTCAAAAATTAATCCAATAAAAATTTTCTCTGCAACACAAAATTATTTGGAAAGGTAACTTTAAATCACATATCACACAATTTGTTAGGGAAAATCTTTTCTGGGAAATTAGTAATACTAACATTTCACAACAACTATATATGTTGCTTTGAATTATATCTGGGCTGATGACTTCAGCTACAGAAGAATTACGGGTTTTATTTCCACTCGTATCCATAATACTTTCTCAAAACCTCTCATGTAAAAAAGTGTCTAATTAGAATAAAGCAGTTTAATATCAATGTAATGGTCCTTTTATTAGCAAGGCATTAATATTTTCAGTAAAATAAGAAATTATTTTTAAAAGAATATCCTGTACCATCTAAAAATTATGTGCTTACTAGGCAAAATGACACCATCTAGGAGGAAGTCAAATAGGCCCTAGCTAGTAAAAAATCAGAGCACTTTTTACTGCTTGAGAAACACAGCAGTTGTTGATTTTTGTGGTTCTTCCTTCAAAAAATCTAATCCAGATTCTGGAACACAGACTGCTTCTTTTTAGCAGTTCAGGATCCAGAGTTTTTCCCCCTTATCTTAGACTAGCATAGAGACTTATCCCCGCACTTCAAAGTCAACCCAGGCTAGTGGGAAGCACTGCATACAGAAAGCGTGCTGCTAAAGAGAAAGCGGCTCTCTGCAAGTGCCCAGCGTGCTCCTAGGGACCAGCCTTTCCCATTCCAGGTCACAGCAGCTGGGCACAGTTCTGCATGGCCTTACAACAGCTGGCTGAGAAGTGCTATCTCCTCCTTTCTCTTGCCTACAGGAGTTCTCCAAAACAAAAGCACAGTGAAACAATGATGTGGGTTCCTGGTTTATTATCCTGAAGTGATTTTTAACTGCTCACATCTCTTGTAAAAATGTTTATTCCTCCTCACACCTCTGCATGCACTGACTGCCAAGCTGAGTTCTCCCCTTCTCATGCCTCACATCACCACTTGTATGCAAACTGTATGGACAAAACCGGCTCAGTTACACCTGCATCTTCAAATTTTGATGGTCTTCAGCAAGATCTACATAATTGTGTAGATGACTGCTGTTTAGCAAACACAAGAAAAAACAGAATCCATGTCCTAATAGGCAGGTTAAAGTGGTATGAGGCTTATGAACTATTAATCACTAGAGGTGTGCTATTTTTTACTGAATTACTTATATAAGACTCTGAACATATAGAGGGAGCAGACACATTGAGTACAGAGCAACTAGTTTTACATATTTTCTTGGCAAGAGTATAAATTACACATTAGTGAAAAAAAATTGGATAAGATTTGATTGTGTCTGTTCTCTTTATATTCCTCCTGCAAGACATGGAGGACACTGAAAATCACAGGCTGGCCCTTGTGCTACAATAAGCATGCAACCTATACATCTCAGGACTGTATTTACTACCTCCTTCTTAAATCAAAATTGTACACAGCACTCCCAGTGAAGGTGTTTATTTGATTGCTTAACAGTATGCATAGAATCATTACAAACTGTGCTGAAATATCACTTCAATCATGACCCTATATAGATACTACAGTATGCATAACAAAACTATGGCTTTTTCCTGACAGGACACTACCACTATTAGGTAAAACTCACTATTGAGAAAAGGGCCAGCACCAGGTCTTTCTAACACTTACAGTGCATTTAAGCATTATTTTCATAATATTACTGGTTCCCAGATCTTCCTTCCAAACTACGGAACGAGACAATTTTACCCTGAGCTGTATGTCTGACTCATCTTCTGGATATTCATGTTTTACTTTGTCTGTGGCGAGAACATGTATTCTGCTGGAATTCAATTCACCTATTCAATTTTGCATAAACCAACACTGCTACTGCAAATGCAAACCCAAATGTGCATTAAATTATCTGCATTATGAAAAGCTGCTGTCATTTTAGGCAGTGGAGTGCTGTATGCTTGCTAATGACACAGCATTTTAAAAGACTGAAACTTATTAGGACATAATAAAATTCACTTGCACTGACTAGTCCTTCTACACCTCTTTTCCCGACATGGCTCTGAATTTATCATCCTTTGAAAGTATTTCAGAATTCATGTGAACCATTTTCATGCCCTGCTGGGCAAGACAGTTTGTAAGAGACAGTGTTAAGATAGACGGTTTTCAGTCTTATCCTTCAGATCATAAGAAAAGACAGATAACTGGCTTTGTATTGTTATTGATGTCTACAATTAATATCATCTTAAGCACCAATGAAAAAGACATAATTAACTTGCCAATTCAGGCAAACTTGAATTTCTCCACTTTTCCTTCAATTCCCTAAACTGATTTATTTTAAGAAAAATTTCATCTCCAGGTTCTTCTACTAAACGTTGAAAGGTAATGATTTTAGGAAATCAGAGCCTATGAGCCAGCAAAACGTCTTTTTATGGCAAGGTTGCTCACCCTTTGTAGAAAGCAAGTTATAATCCAACTGCTTCATTCACTTTTCAATAAAGATTACCCCTTTAGGAGGTACCACTCAAAAATTCTTTGGAAGCTATAATGGAAAATGTGTAATTTTTTAAATAAAAAAAACCCCTATTATGTGAAGACCTGTAGTGTTCACAGAGAAGTCAACCCCCCCTATTATGTGTTTTGAAGACCTGTAGTGTTCACAGAGAAGTCAACCTAGAGCCACTTAAAGCAAGAAAGCAGATACTACTAGATGGGGGATATGATTTGCTTAACATCTATTCATATTGCTCTGACACAAGAAAACATACCCATTTTCAGGTCCCTTTATAGCCAGAGTGCTATAGAAGCAAGTAGAAAGGAAAATTAGGTCTTTTAATTTCCTACTTTTGGGAAATAAAAAAAATGATGGCAGCTTGTGAATCTGTAAAAGTGGCAAGATTCACTGCCTGTCTTTTCCCACAGCCCAATCTACTAAGATACACTACTGCAAACCTTAAGTACAAATTTCTTTCAACAAGACTGCTAAGATTCAATCCAACCCCAAAAGATTATCAGGATCTTTATACTTTAGATATTGTATCTGTAGGATATATTATCTTAATATAGGATTGTACTAGGTCTGGCTGGGATTAAGTCAATTGTCTTCATGGCAGCTTATATGGTGGTGTGGTTTAGATTTGTGACCAAAACAGCATTGACGACATACTGCTGCTTTAGCTCTTGATGAACAATGTTTGCACAGTGTCAAGGCCTTCGTTGTTTCTCACTCTGCCCCCACAGTGAATAGACTGGGGGGTATGCTAAAGGTGGGGAAGGGACACAACCAGGCAGATGGCCTGAAGTAACCAAAGAGATATTCCACACCATATAATGTCATGCTCAACAAGAGAAAGGGAGAGGAGGAAGTTTAAAGGGGCTAGTCATCTTTCACTTGGGAACTGGCTGGGCATCAGTCTACCCATGGAGGGGGGTGATTGATTGCCTTTGCATCACTTGGTTTGCTTTGTTTTCTTTCTCTCTTCTTCCATTTCTTCACTTACTAAACAATTTTTAACTCAACCCAAAAAGTTTTCTTGCTTTTACTCCTCCTTTTCTCTTCCTCTGTCCCACTGGGAGTTGGGGAGAAGTGAGAAAATGGCTGTGTGGTGCTTTGCTGCCTACTGGGGTTAACCTGCAACAAGGATGATTCCTAAGTCACAAAATTTTTAGAAAAATCTGCAACCCTTTTGTTTTGAATAATGGCAAACTGAGAGGCTTGGTCAGTTATATATATATGTTTACACTGGAGATTTAGGAGTGAAGTAATAACCTTCACAATAGCATTCTGCATGTAAACCATTAATGAGATCTGGTAGGTGGAAGGCCAAGGCTGCAACCCAACTCTTTGCGTGTGGGTGCAGGAAATACCTTATATATGCTTTACTCTCTGTGGCACATCTATTTCTCAGAAGCTGGTACCTGAAGGTGGGATTTACTCTGGTTTTTGTATTCAGTTTTCCAGATGAATACTACTGCTTAGCTGTTAAAGAGAGTAGCAATATATTTCACTGTGCAAGTGTGATTTATTTAGCAATTCTGACATGCTTATAGTGCAGGAATTCACTACAAGACTTTATGAACCACATAAGTTTAGCAGCAGTGAGGGGCACTGCCAAGAAACACTCCATCCTGCAGTAGCATCGACTATGATGGAAGTGACTAACCCTCGCAGCCTGAGTTAGCATGTAACTCCCAGCTCCCAGGGTGGTAATGCTTACTATGCTGCAGTTAATGCAATCTTTAATTTGAAGAGAAAAAAATAGAGAATGTTTAAAAAATTAAAGGTGTTAGTGCCATCATTCTGTCTAGTTACAAACATTTCAATTATATTTTCTCCATGTAAAGAAGTTTCCCTATAATCTCCCATTGACTATTTTTTTTCCCCTTCCTTCCTTAACTGTCAGGTGTATACACACATCAAAGAGATTCATTTCGGTTCAGTGATGGATTAGGTGAAGGTTGCTCAATGGCAGATGCATGGTTCTTCCATTTTCAGAAGAAATTCAGGTTTCCAGGGGTGTATGTGCAGAGGGGAACTAAGTATAGGAGTCTAACATACATTCACCACTGCTGTTTAGAAACTCCTTGCTTTACCCACTGGCCCTTGGATTTTTTTAGCACTTAAATTTCCAGAGGAATTTGGTGCTACATACGGAAAGCTTTACTGCCTTCCTGCCCTCTCAAACTCCCAACTCTCAGGCCCTCACATTTCCTGCACCATTAAAAAAGGTATGATGGCACATTGGATGGGTCTCAGAGCAACCAGTGCACTGTATGCCCTATGCAGCATACAGAAAAGCATCTGCATGAGCAGAACATGGCATAAGACCTGACTCTCAAGACTATATACAGTTAAAATAGACTTTTCAAAGCATTAGGTCCCTTTGGAAATGTTACAGCTGAATCAACAAATTGGTTTGTACTTGTATGGTGCACTGAGCACCTTCTGAGTAAGAAGCATCACGTAAATTAAATATGCTTTCATGTGCACAGAGAAGGTGGCAGGAGGCTCTAAGTGGAAGTTTCCCAGTTTTCTCACTGCTGTGGACAAATTCCCCTATAATTTATTAAATAAGTCTTATGCAGTGCCCAGTTCTGCTGGCACCCTGATTTACTCAAGGGTCTGTGCAGCTGCAAGGTGAATGGGAGGGACCTGCCAAGCACTAACACCTGTCAATGTATGGCCTCTGTGCGTTGAACCATGTGGTGCTGATACCGGTCCTACAGTAGGACCTCCCTTCACCCACCAATGCATGGTTATTATTTGTGTGATTATGCCAAATCCTGTTTATAGAATATGTTTCATCATACAGTTATCTAACAAACTCCTACCATTACAGCCCACAAAGGAAGTCTTTCTTCCTTCCTTGTATTTTACATTAACCATCTTGACTGACAGGTAGTACCTAAAACCCTCAGATTGATCTAAGTACTTGAGTTACTTCACTTAAGTAACCTTCATCTTTCTGTGCTTCTAACTTTCTACTGTTTGTCATTCTCACTTGTCAAATTATGTCTAAAGTTGATTGTGAACTGCATGATGGTGTCTTTTTATGTACCCTATGAAATGCTTAGTACAGTACCAGAACTCAGAAATAGCCTGTTTATAGAATACTTATCAGCACAGCATTTAATATCTTAAGCTCTACAGTTTACTTTACTCTCATACATAGAAAAAATAGAAATATTGAAACATCCACTATGATAGGTAAATTGGTTGTAATTCCTTGCAAAACATGTGCATGGAAGATCAATCTGATCAGATGACTGTGAAAAATTTAGGAGTCAAGTGAAACCATATGAATAATTCTTTCTTTTTGTTTCACAAATCAAAATCTATTCCTCTGGGACAAACTATATGTCATCACGCTTAATTTTGCCCTCCTATAAAATTATTTTAAAATTTGAATTTTTAAAAAAAGAAATAATAATAGTTGGTTATCCCAACATGTGATCAATATTCTCCTGTTCAGATTTTTGTATATATCTATTTCATCCTCAAAAACCCACTAGTATTTTTGCGTTACTTTCTGTAGTCTTATGTGCTAAATTAACAGCTGGAGAAAACTAATTTCCTCCCTTTATCTAATGAAAGAGCACCAATAAATGTACAAGTCTCCTGAACCCTTCAGAGACTGAGTTGACTAACCCTGTCTTGAATGGACTGTTCCAGTAGTGAAGAATGTAATCTCTAAGTTCATTTGATATTTCCTTTCTCTTGTGACCTGTCTACCAGGAATTTTGCTGATAATGCAAATTTATTTCACTTAAGACAATGATGAGTCAGCAGTCAGAGAAAATTTTCAGTCACAGCAATATGGTTTGAATTGAACTTTGTTTGACTTTTGA